GGTTTAATTCATACAGTACTGCTGTTTGTAATATGTGTATATAAAAATTGTGGGTTAGATCCTCAGATGGTGCAAGTCAGTGTGGTACTGTTGAAGTCAATGAAAGGACACAGATTTTAAATCACCAGAGGATCTGGCCCTGCATATATTTGAGTGGATCTATCCCCTCACCTTCATAGTGCAGCTGACTGTGTTTTGTACAGCACATTGAACAATATGGCCATGATCTTGACTAGGGCTTACTGATTTCATATATAAAGTTATTAGAGGTGTAGAACTTGGTGTAGAACAGGGGTCTCAAACATGCAGCGCGCCATAGGCGCTGACTCCGTGGGTGCTCCAGGGCTGGAGCACCCACGGGGGAAAATTAGTGGGTGCTCTGCACCTACTGGCAGCCAAGCTCCCCAACCCCACCTCCTCCTCCCCTCCCCGAGCACGCCACGTACCCGCGCCTCCACCTACCTCCCAGCACTTCCTGCCCAGTCGCCACCAAACAGCTGTTTGAACGCTCTGGGGCGAGGGGGAGGAGCAGGAACATGGCGCGCTCAGGGGAGGAGGAGGGGACGAGGCGGGGTGGGGACGGGGATTTGGGGAAGGGGTTGGAATGGGGCAGGGAAGGGAGTGGAGTTGAGGTGGGGACTTTGGGGAAGGGGTTCGAAAGGGGGCAGGGAAGGGGAAGAGAGGTAAAAGATAAATTAATGGATCCTTGCAGCACCGCTACATTCAGCGTTTCTTCAGCAGTAATTTAGCGGGGGACGTAAAGAATATAATTTGCACTGATGTCTTTGAGCTACTCATTAGGGGAGGAGATTCTTGGGGCAGCGGTATGAAGGAGGTAAATGGACTCATTCTTGTGAATGATGTTAGTTACTTTAAATCCATCTGTTCTGTGGAACAGGACAGGAGCTTTCTTCTTTATGTATGACTCAATTCTTTTCTTCCCCCATGTTAATGAGTTTCCCTCATTCTGTCTCTTCCCATTCTCCCAGTCACTTTCATTCTGCTTTTTGGTTACTCTTCCAGTCACCTGTGGTCTGATTTTCAGGGCCATTTCCAACAAGGCCTCAAGTGAGAGAGAGAGAGAGAGGCAATTTGAGACCTTAGGGCTAAACATGAACACTGCCTACAAGTGGGCACATCATGGGCTGGTGTCAATTGTCAGAGATCAGTGGAAGTCAGTGGAGCTATGGCAATTTACACCAGCTGAGGATCTGCCCCAGCATTTCTATTCTGTGGGGCTATTATAACATATTGCCTAATAAGGCCAATTGCCACGTGGATTACTTTGGTTATATATTATGCCCCGTTCCCCTACTCTTCATCTGGCTGTTTGCCTTTCATCTTGTAAGGTCTTTGGAGATGGACTGGGCCGCCTTCTGTGTTTGGAGGTTGCCTAGCATATTGTGGGTGCTAGTGAAAACAAACAATAACAATAATCACCAGTAATTCATATGATTGAGTTTGTGACCACCCATCCTCCAGGTAGTAAAGCTTAGTTTGAATCTACTCTGACATTTCCAAAGTGCATCGAAAAAAGAACACTCATGGAAGAAAAGAGTTTTCCAAGACAAATGGGAGAATTTATATTTTTTCACAGAGGTAAAAGATAAAATTCAATGCCTTATTTGTCAGCAAACAGTGCTGTTCCCAAGGAGTATAACATGCGTCGGCACTATGACATGATACACCATGAAAAATATGATGCATTCACTGGAAAAATCCGAGAGGAAAAAGTTCGGCAACTTAAAGCAGCATTTGCCAAGCAAAGAAATTTCTTTTAGGAGATTAACAAGTCTAGCAAAGATTCAGTAAGAGCAAGTTTTGTGATAAGCGAATGATAGCTAAATCATTGCAACCTTTTACAGAAGACCTATTCATAAAAGAATGTCTTGTGAAGGCCAGCGAAATTTTATGTCCTGATAGGAAGAAAGTTTTTGAAGGCATAAGCTTGTCTTCCAATACAGTTGCCTGCAGGACAATGGATTTAGCAGATAATGTGCAAAAACAATTGATTCAAATGGCAAAAGACTTCGAAGCATTTTCAATTGCTCTTGCTGAGAGTAGAGATGCATCAGATACTGCACAGTGTGCAGTGTTCATTAGAGGTGTGGATTGTAATTTGAATATAATTGAAGAATTGCTAGACTTAGTGCCACTGAAGAGTACCACAACGTGATGTGACATATTTCAAGGACTAGAAGAGTGCATTGAAAAAGCTGCGCTGCCATGGAACAGACTCGTATCTTTGGCTACAGACGGTGCGCCATCAATGTGCTCTGAAAACGTTGGTGTGGTTGGATTATTGAAGACCAAACTGAACAGCCTCAATATACCAAGAATTAGCTTCACCAGTATACATTGTATTTTGCACCAAGAAGCCCTGTGTTGTAAAAGTCTACAAATGAAGGAAGTTATGGATGTAGTTGTTAAAACCTTTTATTTTATACGTGCACAAGGGCTGAATCACAGACAGTTCACTTCTTTTCTAGCAAGTATGGACAGCGAATATGGGGAACTTCTGTATCACACTGAAGTTAGATGGCTGAGTCATGGAAATGTTTTTTGATGCCTTCATGAAAATGAAAAACAAGGAGGTTCCACAGCTTGCTGATTCCACTTTTATCTGCAACCTTGCTTTTCTAACAGATGTAACTGATCACCTGAATGCACCGAACTTGAAGCTTCAGGGTAGAAAACAGGTGATAACACAGATGTATGACAGTGTTAAGTCATTCAAAGTTAAGCTTACTTTGTGGGGGAAACAGCTGACTGCTGGCAATTTGGTCCATTTCTCGACTCTGAATTCCTTAGGAAGAGTTGAACCCAAATCCTTGAAAGAATATGCAGATATCATTTCTAACTTATACAAACAGTTTGACATGTGGTTTAAAGATTTCAAGGCACTTGAACTGTACAGGGAGATTTTGGCAAACCAGTTAAGTGCCTGAAACCTCTATGGCTTATTGCTAAAAGCAGCCAAGTCAGCAGGCTGTAAAGTGGCCATGCAGCAGCCTCAGCTTGACCAAGGCAGGAGGGGAGGGGTTTTGGGGTGCCACAGAAAGGGCAGCTTGACCCCGTGTCCTTCCTGATAAGAATTGTGTTGAAGTTGCTGATACATGTACACCTCTACCCCGATATAACGCGACCTGATATAACACTAATTCGGATATAACGTGGTAAAGCAGTGCGTCGGGGGGGGGGGGGAGGCTGCGCACTCCGGCGGATCAAAGCAAGTTCGATATAAAGCGGTTTCACCTATAACACAGTAAGATTTTTTGGCTCCCGAGGACAGCGTTATATCGGGGTAGAGGTGTATTTTAGAAGAGCAGGATATGCTCAGGAATGTGTCTAACAGAGTCTCAAGGCTGCAAACTCGGGGAAAATACCACACCTGGTTAATCAATAATCAGAAGGAAACCTCTTGCTGGACCATTGAAACTGTTTGCTTAACAAGTTTTCTTTAAGGGACATGTTATTGTATTACTATGTATAAATAAAGGGAAAATGTTTGAGGTAGTGGGACTGGTCTCTCCCCCTGGATGCATCTTGAGTTCCCCACCGGCAGAAGGGCTGCCGCTGTGCCACCCGAGAGCCACACTCAGCTTCGGTAATTATCAAGGGTTGGGGACGTTTTACTAACCTGTTGCAGACATGTGTAAGTGCTTGAGACTAAGGCCTGTCTACAATGGGAGGGGGATCGACCTAAGAGACGCAACTTCAGCTATGAGAATAGCGTAGCTGAAGTCGACATATCTTAGTTTGACTTACCTCGCGTCTTCACGGCGCGGGGTCAATTGCCGCGGGTCCCCAGTCGACTTTGCTTCCGCCTCTTGCCGAGCTGGAGTTCAGCAGTCGACGGGAGAGCGATCGGGGATCGATTTATCACGTCTACACTACACGCGATAAATCGATCCCCAATAGATAGATCGCTACCCGCCAATCCGGCGATTAGTGTAGACGTAACCTTAGTAAAGTTTAGCTTTAAGTGAAAGCACTCTTGTGTTGTCCTGTTTGTGCCAGCCATCTATCAGTCGGACGGCCGTGTCTCCCCTGATTTATTTCCTGACACCACCGCGCACAGAGTAAAAGTTACTAAGAGCTTTGGGTTGAAAGAACCCCAGGTAACAGAACCATATTTTCAACTTTTTTCCACATCATTTGCTGTGGACATTGACAATGTTGCAGAGGAAATGCAGATGGAGTTAGTGGAGCTTCAGTGTGATAGCATTTTGAAGCAGAAGTATAAAAATGTTGGAATTCCAGTATTCTAACGGTTTCTTTGACAAGAAAGATTTCCCATGTTATTCTCTGCTTCCGCAAGGGTAATGGCAATGTTTGGAAGTACATATATATGTGAACAGTTTTTCTCTTCCATGAAGATTAACAAATCTGTGTTAAGGTCAAGGCTCACTGATGAACATTTGCAAGCAACACTGAGATTGGTTTCGTCTCAGGATATCAAACCTAATATTGATGCTCTGGTTGATCCAAAACACTGCCAGCTAAGTGGCCAAAAATGAAATGACTGTCAAAATTAGCACTGACTATTTGCATTACAGTTTTAAAAATTTAATACATTGACTTTTAATAGCATACTATATTACTCTTCATTTTTTTTCATTTTTGACTATACTTTTGTATCATTGTATGAAAAGGTTTCAGTGATGTGGTCCTGGGGCCAATGTACCAGTCCTCATGTGGCCCTCGTGGTGATTTGAGTTTGAGATCCCTGGTGTAGAATGTGTCATGCTGTTTTTATTTTTTTCTCTTGGTATTAGCCACACTTCACCGAGGCCCTTTTCTTTTTAACAATCTCTTTTTATTTGGGGAAAGAAAGTACAAATGGAAAATATTTACAGGTCAGGTAATCTGTGACCCTCCGGCTCACTGCCTGCCTGGCTTTGACATCCTTGCCTCCCTCATCTCACCTACAGCATTCAGCTCACCATCTTGTGCTTCATTAACCAATTCTGTGTGTGAAATCTGACTCCAACACAGTGTTTTAGTAAATTAATTTGTTTATTTTATGCACCACAATATACAGAACTGCTTAGATAGCATCCTCTTAATATATAACAGTAGCAAGAAACTGAATAAGAAAAGAGATGGAGCTCTGTACAGGAACAAGACTTCTGTTCTACTGTATGAACTTTTGTGCCATCTTCCTCCTAGTATTATTTGCAACATGGAGTAAATTTAAAACTGCCCTTTAGGCTCCTTATTGTGTATTTGGCCAGCTCCTCCCCATTTCTCTGCTCATTTCTTTTGCTAATATATTTATGTCTAATTGAACTGTTCAAATTAGAAATAATATATACTCTTGATCACTGGAGATTTCAATCATCACTTGTGAAGCTTCCTGAAGAACCCATTCTTAAAATTGGGAAATCCAGCCACACAGGGCTTCATTTGACACTGCTTCCAGCCACCAATAAAATAACCACCATTTGTCACTGAAAATTTAATTAATTTATATAGTGCTGTTAGCATGACAGCTAGGCATCTTGAAAACTTTAATTCTTTAAGACACAAATAAAACTACTGTCAACTGCTTGCCCTTCCCCTACCTGTCATCCACATACCTGTAGCAGGGTTGGTGAGCTTGCAGCTCCAGCCCTGGTAGTTGTTCATTAGGGCTGCAGCTTTATTTCAACTTTTTTTTAATCAAAAATAAAAATAAATCTGTTTTTTTTTATTTAAAAAAATGCCCTCCTCCTTGCCTCACCAAGGGGGCACCAACCACCTGCAGCAGTACCCTCCACCCCAGCACTGCAATCCTAATCCTGGCTGAGTGTAGAGGGGAAGCTGGTGGGAGCCACTGCGGAGAGAGCCTACCCCACAATCACCCCACATCTGGCTCCTTTGTCCCACAGGACTGGTCCTGGCACCCTGTGCTCACCCTACAGCAGCAGCTCCTGTGTCCCACGGTTCTGGGCCCATTGCCCTGCTCCTGGCATTGCAACCAGGCACATTGGTTCGCAGCACTGCTTAGGTTTGGCCTGACTGCTCTGTCATGATAGAGTGTCTGGCAGGCCAAACCTGAGCGGTTCTGTGGCCCAGTCCACCCGGGCAAAATGCCATTCATTTAAGTTTTCTCCCTTGCCCTTCTCCCACCCAGTCATGATGGAGGGTCTGGCAGGTCAAATTTGAGCAGGTTTGTAACCCAGTTCGTGCAGAGCAGACAGCCAAGCCCAAACCCCCATGGGACAGGAATTGCATGAGCTGCCACTTCAGTATGAGTTATGGACACAGAAAAAAAGTCATGGACAAATAGGAAAAGCACAATACATGACTTTTTTTTCCTGCTGTGACAAACTTGCAGTCCTAGTGATCATGGAAGGGGCATCAGCTGTGTCTCAATCTCACTGGAGTTAGCAGGAAAACTCAGAAGGATAGTTCAAAGTAAGGGCACTTACTTCCTACCCACAACATATGCACCAGGTGAAACATGAGCTGGGCTGGAAAGTTGGGAGAGATTCTTCAGGTAGGGATGGAAAAGACTCTTCAGTGTAGGACACAGGAGAGGAAGAGATGGTCTGCCCAGTCCTTTAGGATCATTTGATAACTGTCTTGTAGATGTGGCTTTTTTGTTTTTGCTTGACTTTCCACCTTGCTTGTTGTTGCGGGAACTAAGGAGCAGCTGACATGCATGAGTTAGGCCTCAGCCCTTATATCTTTTGCCTCCCCTTGTTAGAAACACAGTCCAAAGGAGTAAGGCAGCCACTTCCAATAAGAGAATTGGTTCTCTTTCCACAGTTACAGTTGGTAAACGCCCAACCTCTGAGGCTGGGAGGGAGCCATAGTTGTAATGGGGAACTGAGTTTCTGGCAGTCATGTGGAGTAAGGGAAGGTGGCCAGACCTGATTCTCAAAAGTCTTGTTGCCTATTTTCAAAAGAGTTATTTCTCTCTTCCCACAGCCCATAAGATGTTCTCCTATGCTGCCTTGCCAGCTGAGGACTTGAGCTTGCTGTGACTTTTTATGCATTTATTTTTTAATTTACCAAATGTGTTTATTTGTATCTCTAGGCACACAGATAAAAATATATGGTCAGATATAATTTCCAGTATTGAGACCCATTGCCACTGCTGCTGTGTTGCCTAAGAGAGAGAGTCTCAGGCTGAAGAACAACAGACCAAAGGCAGCAAACCTTATGTACAACCCTCTTCTTTCTTTTTGACACCCACCCTCCACTCACTGTCCTGCTAGACAATCCAATACCACAGTATGAACCATACAGACTGGTCTGGGCCAGGCCTGGTACCAAACACCTGAAAGAAATCTATGTAAGAAAAAAACATTGCTGAGCTTTAAGAAAAGATAAATTACAGTAAAGCTCAGTTATTTCCTCCTTTTGTCTGAACCCCTCCTCCCTTTCCTGTCATCACAATGAGGGAACCTGCTAACACTTGAAATGGCTTATCCTCTGCTACAAATCCCTCCCTGAGACAAAACACCTCTTCTTGGCGGTATACCCTCAAGGAAGATTCTGCTTGACGAAGGCTGCATTGTACAGGCTTGATTCAGTGCACTACTAGGTTGGCTAATTTAAACTAGAGACACCTCTTTATCCCAGCATGGCACGCAAATTCCCTCTGCTGCTGCCTTCCAGCTGCCTGCTCATGCCTCCCCCTCTAAAGCAATAATATTTCCAACTATATTTAAAAACACCCATAAGGTTATACAATGCTAAGTATAAAAGCTGGACATGTGCCAATGGACAGGGTCGTAACTACAGGTAAGGGCAAAGAATTTACTGCAAGATCTTGCTCCTGGAAACTGTCAAAGATCCTCCTGGTACCACATATGAGGAAAAAATGGACCACAACCTGAGAAATATCCAAAAATCAGTATTGTTCTTGTAAATGAGAAGTACGGACTTCCCTGGCTCAGGGCAGAGCTTTGCATTATAGTTTCACCCCTCCCCGAATAATAGCAAGCTTGTTCTGTCTGCTGAGGAGCTTCCCTGTGCAGATGATAAACAGACTCCACTTTATTTTTGTTTTAAACAATCTGTTGATTTAATTTTTTTTATAATTTGGATCCTATTGCAGTAAAATTGCCTTTCACCATTTAACTGTATGAGGAAATCGTGCTGTAGGAGGCCAGTGTTGCACAACTGCCCACTCAACAACATGAAGGAGTATTCAGCATGTTACTAGTGTCCATCACTGAAGCGTAACCTCCCCTCTCTCCATTGACAGACAGTAATTCCACCCCTGGAGTTGGGATTTAGGCAGCATTTCTAAGGTCACTTTTTGGTTTTGAAGGTCCCCAGGAGTTTGGGCATGAATTTCCCCATTTTCTTATCTTTGGCATCTGTGTCATATTCCTCATCATTCTGAATTGGTTGTTCATCCTTCTTGCAGAAGACCTCAAACCTACTATACACCCGCTTCTCCTTTCGCATATTCTCCATCTTTTTCAGAAGGGTATCTCTGTCCTCTGATGGTTGCCTCTGAAGAGTCTTCTTATGGCTCCCAAAACTTTCTGACCTGCTAATGTTGCAGCTTTTCTCCTTCTCACCTTTATATTCCAAACTGCTGGTAGACTTGGTAAGATCAGGATTACTTGTGGATGGTAGTTGCTTGGCCAGCTCAGCTCTGTTCTTCTGACTGTTGGCGGAAATTTGCTCCAGAATCACCTTTGTGTCATCACGGAGGTTGCTGCTGTATAGGATGTTTGCCGTGGAAGAAGCAAACCTGGTCTGAGATGGCTGGTTGCTTTTGAGAGCAGGTGCTGTTGTGATCCTTTGGGATTTCTCTTCCTCCATCACTTCCTGATAATCCCCCTTGGAAGATCGTTTAAGGCTCATGGTCTGCTTGTCAAACTTTCCACTCTCAAGATTGGTTTCTTCCTCTGATTTCTTATCACCCTTTGGATTCAGCAATTGTTTCAACCTTAGCGACCCTTTCCTAAAAAATTCCAGTGGACTCTGTTCCTGTTTGGCACCCTCTTCCTCGGATTTATTGAGAGAGCTGTCAGACCCTTGATTCTTGGATAAACTTTCAGGAATCGATGTGGTGCTTATCCTAGCCTGCGGTTTCTTGAATTCTGTGTCAGCTAGTTCCTGTGTGTCTCTTTTGAATGTCAGTTTCTCCCTGTTCTCTGGCAGAGCAAGCTTCTGAGTGTTTCCTACCAATATCAGGTTCTCCTTCATTGGAAGAGCAGGTTTGCTGTCTGTGGAATAGAACCGAGAAGATAGTTTTTCCATTTTGCTGCTAATATTTGTTATAGGATCTTTACTCAGTGTGTCAAGGAGCTGGGTGGCTGAAGGAGACATACCAAACTGTTTCTCAGACTCCATGTGCATCTTGTAACTACTGAAGGATTCTTTTGAGTCTAGCACCCTACTCTCCAGGATCTTGTATTGCACGGATTTGGTACATTTTTTCTCTGCATTCTGAGATTCTTCCTGTAGAAAACTGGAAACAGCTTTGGTGTGACTAACTGTAGCACTCTCTATGTCTTTGCCCACAGTTTTGTACTTCTCTAAAAGTTCTGCTACTTTAGAAGAGGTGGTTGCCTTTATAGTTTCATTGTCTTTTGTAATCTCATTGGACATTTGCTCCTTTTGGATCATCTGAACCTTCTCCATTGTCATATTCTGCGGATCTAAATTGGCGGCATTAAAAATCAAAGAAGATCTGAGCCTTGAGCTCCTCTGGATCAAAGGATTTATCCTGGACCTAAAGGAATCCTGTTTCATAAGGGAGGTCTCCTCGCCTGCTCTCTCAGTACCTGTTGACTCTTTGGCACTTTCAATTCCCAATGATTTATTATTAAATGACATAGGAGACTTGAAAGATGGGATCAGGTCACTGGGGTACTTTGTGAGGGGCTCTCCAAGGCTCAAAACATCATTATATGACTCTGATTCCATGGGCATTGGGATGCCTTCGTCTCCTGGTTCAGACTGGTATCCACTCAGGTATGAAGAAATCCTCCAGTTACGCAAACCTGTTCTATTTTCCTGGGTCTTCTTGTCCTGATCTGGGTCCTGGTCTTGTAAAAACAGTCGTTGTTCCAGGCTCTGCTTCTGTGTGGGGGATGTCTGGCACATGAATTTCTGCCCTATGTTTTGCCTCCTTAGTGACATCAGCCCTAGTGGGCCATTCCCTGCAGGGTTCACCTGGTCAGAACCATGCCTCACTTCCCTAGAAGAATTTGAAGGCTCATAATCTAGCCTTAAGGGGAAACCCTCCTGTGGGAAGTGGGATTCAAGTTCAGGATATCTGGGGCCCTGTGCATAGTCCTCCAGTTCATTGAATCCTGGCCTACCACCTCGTATTCGCTCAAAGAACCCCTGAGGCCTGCTGGAAGCATGGGGATGTTCAAATTGATATTGGTAGAACTGGTCCTTTTGAAAGTGACTGGATTGCATTTTAAAGTCATCCAGATTGTTCATGAACATCTGCCTAGAACACTGCTTTGAAGAAGAAAAGTTTTCAAAGGTTCCTTCAGCAAAGCTGTGTCTCTTAAAGGAATCCAGCTCTAATTGCTTGGAGCGGAATAAACCTCTGACAGGATCTATCTGAGAATTCTCCATTTCTGCCTTCTTAGAATACATGCGCATTGCTGACCCCTCCATAGTATGGCGCATCAGTTCATCCCGTCTGAAGGCTGACAAGAAGTATCTGTCTGGATCAACTCTGTCCATGAAGGGTGGAAAGACATTGTCATCCCTCTGGAACAGCAGGTGTGGTTTCTTTGGAAAGAAGGGCATATTGTTGCCAAAGGGGGCCATGGTAAATGGGTTCTCTGCCTTCACCAAGACATTGGCTGGAGGAATGAGAGGGTCTGACTGTGCAAAGAGAATTCGGAATTCTTCATCAAAGCTGGACACCAGCTCCCCTTGGAAGATGTGAGCGATGCTTCGATGAATCTTCTCAAAGGACCACATAAAACTGTACCAAGATACAGAAAAGATGAGATGTAGTTAGCATCTGATGTGTCAAATCAGTGGCACCACTTCACATCCACCATGCACTGAGTCTAGCCTTCTACTAGCACCAAGTACTACTCTGGCAGCTTTCTACTGCCCACAAGAGTTCCCCCGATTAACACTTATTGATTATTGGGCATCAGTCAGTTCCAGCACTAATAGGCTCATGTTCTAAACTGAGAGATCTAACATACCAAGTGGTAACCACAGAGGAGATGGGGGAAAGGAGGATGAGGGTTATGGTAAAATATGCTAATATGACTGTTCTGTGCTGAATTTTTTTAAATTAAATATTTTAAAGTTATTTTAATACATACTTTTTATTTGTAAATAAAGTACCCACCTGTACAGCGCTGAGACAAGGACTCCCCTGCAAGCAAGAGCACCCCATTCTTCACAAGTACTATCTCACTCTCTCCACCAAGATCCATACAGCATGCTCCCTGCCTCGATGAGGTAATGATTTCCCTTATCTGGGTTTTTAATATGGGGCCACTCACTTGAGTACCAAAAGCACTTAGTATGCTGTTTTCATCAGATTGACCTATCTAAGCTCAGAAGTATAACACAGGCATTGACATAGTAACTTCCATATATTAACAGTATGCAATAGTCACTCCCATACTTGTAACTAGATGCTGATTTTAATAACCCACCCATCTTTTTAGCAACTTTAATTATTCTATGACAACACTTAGGTTTGATGCTGGGCTGAAATAAAACAATATTTTAAAAACCTGACTATGTTTTCTCAGGACACAGTCACTGACATGACTAAGTCCGGGCTGATTATGTTGTGGCTTCAGCCAGATGGTATTTGGACTTAATGTCCCTAGCAATGCTGGTGTCTGCAGTGATTTTGAGTGTTTAAATTAGTTGTAACAGTTACTAACCTTTGTACAGACATTTTATGTCCTGGATATGAAACAAGCTTGGCTTTAGATTTCTGTAGTTTCCTTAGCTACAGAATTACATATTATCCCTTGGAATAATAGTGCATTGTGCGCCAATATTGAGTTTAAGGGATACAACCTTGCCACTGATGTTTAGTTGTAACTGTCATCGTTAGAGTGCCCCCTCTCACCAGCAACTCTTCCTAACAGAGACAGGGTTATGCCAATCTGCAGTCCCTCCCTGCACCCCCTCACCTGTAGTTGCCACTTAGCACCACCATGCAGTCCACCAACAGGAACTTCTCTTTCACATGCCCTTTGAAGGACATCCCCGTGCGGCAGTAATAGGTGGGGCCAGAAACCGTCCGGACCCTCAGGAACTGCAAACCAGCGGAGAGATGAGGCAGTGACTTCCAAAGGCAGCAGCTGCTCTTGCACCCCCCCGCCGTTCCCCCATTAGCTCACTTCTTCATACCCATCTCTCCCATAACATCAGCACTAGTTTCTCTATTTGCCTTTCTGTTCAGTTACAGCAGAGGTGGGCAAACTTTTTGGCCCGAGGGTTCCCCATTCCCGGCCAATGGGAGCTGCGGGGGGCAGTACCTAGAGGCAAGGGCAGTGCGCGGAGCCCTCTGCCCCCACTCCCCCAGGGGCCACAGGGACATGGTGCCGTCTGCTTCCAGCAGCGGCGCGGGGCCCGTGGCGCCACGGGAGTGACAATCCTGCGGGACAGATCCAAAGCCCTGATGGGCCGGATCCAGCCCGCGGGCTGTACTTTGCTCACCCCTGAGCTACAGTGTCTCATCATGACACTACACAGGCTGCCTCCCACCTTTATTCCCCCCTCATTACTGAGATAACTTCTTTCTCCTCTGGCCCCTGACATCCATCAGCCCTGTAGCTCCCCCCCACAGCTCCTCAGGACCAGACCATAGGATCCCAGCAGTGAACCCGCCCAGGTCACCTCCACATAGTTGAGGTTGACTTTGCACTTAGCAGCTGTGTCTAGGAAGAGCTGGGAGTTCATTTCATCCAGGAGGATATACACAGGGACCCTGCGGGCAGCAGCATCTAGCACCTCACTCAGCAGATCCACATCTGTGAAAACATCCATCACTATAGCTACCACCTGTGGGAGAGAGAGTGAGATAAGGACAGTCAAATTTTAGGCCTACCTGCGTCATCCCTGTATATGAGCATTCACTTGCAGCTGCTTACAGCACAGTCCCTCCCACCCCAGCCTCTGCCTCTGCTGTACTTGCTGCATTTCTTCCTCCTACCCTGACAGCACCTGCCCCGCTGGACCTGTTCTGTGCCCCACTCTGGCACCTGCCCCTTCTGGACTCACTTCATGTCCCTGGAGTAAGAAGTCTTACACTTTAAGGCCGGAAGGAATCATTAGGTCATCTAGGCCTGATTTACACCTAGAACTCAGGTCGACCTAGCTACATCACTCAAAGCTATGAAAAAATTCATGCCCTGCATGACAGCTAGGTTGACCTAACCCCACTGTAGATGAGCTAGGTCGATGGAAGAATTCGTCCATTGCCCTAGCTACTCCCTCCTGAGGGGGTGGGTGGGTTTACTACTGCGATGGAAAACTCCTTATATCGCTGTAGTAAGTGTCTGTGCTACAGCAGCATAGCGTGTAGTACTTGTAGTGTAGACATATCCCTAGTCTGATTTCCTGCATAACACAGGCCTGAAAATTTCACCATTACCCCCTATTGTCCATGATAATTTGGGTTGAATAAGCATATCTTCCAGCAAAGCATCCTGTCTTGATTTGAAACCATTGAGAGATGAAGAACCCAACACTTCCCTTGGTAACTTGTTCCAATGGCTAACCACCATCACTATTAAAAATGTGTGCCTTATTTCTAATCTTAATTTGTCTTCAGCTTGCAGCCAATTTGCTAAATTAAAGCAACCTTTAATAGCTGTTTTTTTCTCCCCATTAAGATACTTCTACATCATAATCAAGTCACCTCTTAAACATCTTTTTGATAAGCTGAACAGATTGAGTCCTTTATCTCACTGTAAAGATTTTTTTTCCAGACTTGGAATCATTTTTGTGGTTCTTCTTTATATCTTCTCCACTTTTTCAACACCCTTTTTAAAATGTCGACACTAAACCTGGATGCAGTATTCCAGTATTGGACTCATCAATGTAAAAATCACTTCCCTACACCCATTCACTCTCTCCGTTTTATACATCTACAGTGTCTCAGTGAGAGCTCATGTTCAGTAGCCTCCACTGTGACCCCCTCAATCGTATTCAGGATTTACAGCATTCCAAGATATAATTCCCTCATTCTGTAGATATTGCCTATATACTTTAAAGCTGGCAACGGGGGAGGTGTCTTTAAGCCATCTTTGGGCTCCTCATGTTCTGAGACCATGCAGAGTCCTGTGTAACCTCTGGTGTAGCATAGCCTCAGGGCTGCTCTAACTTATGCAGTTTCCTATGGCCTCTTGGTAGCAGAGAATAACTGTAGTATAGTGAATGCTGGCCATGCATCCAACACCCTCCCTTTCCCTCCCCATGCCAGGGACTGGGAGGAATGCCAATGCAGAGCCTTTACACCAGCTCTACACAAACTAGGGAGGCCCCTGTATGAGGGAAGTCTCAGGCAGCTGTTTCCAGTCCGGTAAAGCCCCTTTCAATTGTCAGAGTGGCCTAAGGGGTCCTGAGTGTAATTTTGCACAGGGAATAGAAGAGGGAATCAGTGCAGAGCTGCTGCATCCTGCCCCATCTCCTTCAGCTCTGTTGGTTCCTGGCCTTTGTTCAATCTTACCTGTTGTGCAGCTCGGATCATCCTACGGGCTTCTTCCTTGATGCTGGGATTGTCTGGGGGTGGTGGCTGCACCAGAGTTGTTACCTCAGTACCCTTGAATCCAAAGACCATTGGCCAGCCCAGATCAAGCTCAGGGACAGCAAGGTCAGAATTCATAGGCCAATAAGTCCCAGAGGATCCGTCTATGTCACTGCCATGCATGGCATCTGTGCAGCTGCTCTCCTGGTTGGCATACTGGGGCTTCTGGAGATGCTGAGTGATGTGCTCTACCTCTGTGCTGCAGAGAAAGTCAGGGGCTCCTTCTTCATCCAGAAAACGATGATAATTCTCTTGCCCCTCCTCAGCTAGCACATCCAGAGCCAGCCGGTAATACTCCTTGTAATGGGGTGGCAAGTAGTTAGGGTCCAGGGGGTTGTCCCCCTGTGAGGAGCTCTGGGACCGGCGAGCCATGAGGGGCAGGGGAGCTGTAGGAAAGGAATAAAGAGCAGAGAGCTAATAGCCAATATTAACCATCACCCTCATCCCCATTGACACCTTCCTCCTCCCAAATGGGTATGTGTAGGGATCATGCATGGTAAAACGGTGAGAGACAGTGAACAGATGTCAGGTGCACTGGGTAGTAATTACCGTATATACAGCTTTTTTTGCATTATGTGAGGTAGCATATATCAGTGTTATAGTGGCTTGGAAACTGATCTCTTGGCAAGGAAATGGGATTGTATGGTCACCTACTAATGTGTTACTTTGACACATTAGCATATATTTGTTCAAAATTATGGTTGTGAGGATGGTGTAAATTGGGAAGGTGTGACGGTGAGTGATAAGGGATTATAAAGCAGGATTCCTTAGCTGTTCATTTTCAGGCTTTCTAAAGTTAGATTTTTTTTTTTTAACAGTCTAGACTTTTTGTTAAAGAAAGTATAATTTGTCTGGGTATTAGCTGGATGTCAGTGAAACACACTATCAGTCTCTCTTTTAAATTAATTGTTTTGTGAAACTGCACTGGATGAAAGGGTACACACATACATCCTTGTGCACCTGTTCAAGTTCGTGGATCCTTTAAAACTGGGAATAGCCACCAGGGCCCATGATTAGGAGCCTACAGGAAGCTAGAAACAAGACATCCTGCCTCTGCGGGTAGGAGTAGCTGGCAAGAAGGACTTGGGTACATTCTAGTAGCTAGGAAGGGCTACTAAAGAGAAAGGTATGGTCTCTTCTCTCCCATCTGATGGGAGGTGGGAAAGCTTAGGTTAGTACCTAGCCTTCACACTTTATTTACTCTTCTTCTGAAACTTTTATTTAAGAATAAAGCCAGACCTCAGGGCAGAGTCTTGGATTATGGTTGTTGGAAGCTTTTTTCCTACCTTCCTCACTGGTTAGTTGTCCATTAGCTTAGGTTCTCTTTAGTAATTTTCCCTGTTGTGTTTTTTTTTCCTCCTGTGCTCCTGAAATTGACATCAGGTTTCCCTTTTTTGCAGGCCTGCTTTGCCTTCTCTGCTCTAGCCTAACTGTAGGGAGGTGGTGGTTTGTTGATGTTGTGAGTTACATTAGGACTTTACTTGATGTTGGAGTCTGTGTAATTCACACACACTTTTGTCTGTCTGGGTCACAATTTCAGCTGATGGTTAGAAGATCCTAAATTTAAGTCCCTTGTTTATCTTTATGGTACGGGGCAGCTATCCTAATCATAGTATAGACTAGTTTGGTGTGTAGTGGTGTGTGTGTGCATTATCTCTGTCTCTTAGTATGTGGGTGTATGGAATGTTGTCTTGCTGTCTGCCTTGTATATGGTATAGCTGTATCTTTGAGTCTGAGAGAGTGGTGTCGTGTGTGTGTGTGTGTGGTCTTGCTTGTGCTTTGGGTTGGGACAAAAAGCTTCGAAATGTAACTAAAAAGCAACTAAACTAGTGACATGCCTATGTGTGCTGCAGAGCATCTGGAACCTGACTCTGAGAGGGTGGAACTATCCCATGATTCTCACTGGAGCATTAACTCCCAGCCCCACTGTTCCAAGGGCCCTGTCAATGGCCAGTAGAGAACTCTCTGTAATAAGAGAAGAGTAAAAAGGGCCTGGGCCACCCACCCAATCAGAGACACCCTTGTAGCTGAGGTAAGTACTGTGGGAGTTTTGGCTGCCCTCCCTTTCTCCTAAGGGAGAGGGATCCCATGCTGCTCATAAAGGGTGGGGTGGGGTGTTTCAGATCTGCTGCTCCTGGAGGGAGAGGAGATTGGGGACCCAGAGTATAGCTCTTGCCAATCTGGGAAAGGTGAGGGGACCCTTATGACCATGAGAGTGGAGCTATAGTGCTGCAGGGATGAAGCCACAGGGAACTCTGCCGTGGTGTTTCTAGGCCTCACGATTGCCTAATCCAGTGCTGGGTGTCTCTCTTGTGTTTTGTGTATGCTGGGGATGTCCTCTTACTGTCAGGTGTGCAGATGTCAATGGCTGGATGAGAGTGGCTAGAATGTTATATGTCCTAGACAGACTTTGGGGGAGGGCAGAAAAAACTATTCTGATCATCTAGACTGAACTTCAGCTTAATAAAGGCCAGAGAACTTCACCCAGGGATTCCTGCGTCAAGCCAAATAACTCCTGGCTGAGGTAGAGCAGCTCTTCTAGAAAGATCCAGTCTAGATTTACAGATTCCAGGTGATGGAGAATTACCCACAGCCTTTGGTAAATTGTTCTGACGGTTAATTACCAATGTTAGGTCGGGACACTGGACAAACAAGCAAAGGCTCCGGAGCACGGAAGGGCTTGCGCGCCCCCGCCCCCCTGCCCCGACTCCGTCCCCCCTTCCCCCATTGGATCCCTCCCCAAATCCCTGCCCCCATGCCCACTCCCTCACTGCCCCATTGTCTCCCTCCCCAAATCCCTGCCTCTTCCCCAAGCTTGCCATTCCTCCTCCCTCCACAAGCACTGGAGGGAGGCTGGGAGACGCAGGGGAACGCGGGGCCGGGGTGAGTGTGAGTCCGGCCTGGCCCCGAGCGCATGCAGGACTCGGGCGGGGTGGTACCTGGAGGGAGAGTAGGGGGGTTCTCCCCACCTGGGCAGCAGGAGTCGGGAGCAGCTGCTGCTGCAGCTCCCACTGCCGCTGCGGGAGGAAGCGGCCAAGCACGTGGCGCTCGGCGGCTGTGGCTCTGGTGCCCGGGCCCGAACCCCCCGAGCCCGGGCCTGCTGTTGGGACCCAGCGTGCATGCTGCACGCGCCCAGCCCCTGGCCAGTTGCATCTGGGCTGGCTGCCCAGCTGGTGCAATCCTGTGGGCGGCGGCATCGGCAGCCCCGTTCGTTCCCCTGCAGGACCCGAGCAGGACAGGGGGGCTGGGGCCTGCTGCCCCCATT